TTCGAGATGGTGCCGTGAGATGCATGTGAGGCATGTGCTTTGATTTTTTAATGGGTCTTATGCCACTGGAATTTCTAATTCGCTAAATGACATTACCAATTCTAATCGTATCAAATGTCTTTGACACTTTAATATGGTGAGTGGGATAAAATATGTTCCTAAACTTGTTTAGATTACTACCTGATGTACTGGAATTTAATCAAAGTGCCACCTGCTATGTGGAATCTAAATATAAGTTAGTTAAACTAGGTTATACATGGATTATGTTTCTAAAGTATTTTTTATTCTTTTCTAATATATGAATCCTAAATCACGACACCAGCTCTAGTAGTATAGTCACTGGATGGGCGGGCAATTACACAGTCACACGGCAAAAGCATTACGACAGCAAATAGCTCACTGAATCAAAGCAAATGAAAATCGGAGTCACAGCCATCGACATTTGAATCGAGATCCGAGTGGATGAAGCACTTTCGCATGGGAAGACTCCACTGCCACTCCACATCTGCATCCCCATCCCCATCCCCATCCTCCATCCGTAATAACTATTAGATCTTGTAGAGTGTAGAGACCTCCAAGATGTTCGTGTTTTCGTGTGTAAGCCTTTTTTGCCTCCATTATTTTTGTTCGGTTTTTGTTTTGATTTATTTTTGTGTAATTTTTACCTTGTTAGCCAAATGCGGAAGTCATACCACCAAATAAATGTTTCTTTGTCTAACAACTGTATTAGGCCAGCATCCAGCTCAACACCCGCATCAATTGATCAGCGCACTCCTGGAGCAATTACGATTACCGCCCGCTGACTTTGCTTCGCTTGTTTATAAGGTTTTTTTTTTGTGGCATTTTTTGTTGCTAGTTTTATTTAATAAAATCAAATCCAATCATAAATAAATTTAAACCCGTTTGACCACAAGCTAAAGACAAATGAACACACAAGCGTACACGATCTTGGGTATATATCTACATACAATATAGAAAAGCCCCGATTGGCATGTAAGAAACGTGCAGAGTGTACTGCGAATCAGTGGCACTGAGAGAAGTGTTATATATTCAATTCATTTATAGGGCTTTAAAGAATTCTAATAATTTTAATCAATTAATAATGATTTCTTAGGGTCATTGGCTTACATTGCAGGTCTAAAAAAGCTTGCATTTCATTATTATTTTATTTAAAATGATTCATTTACTAACTTTATTCCCTGTGTATTAATGTAAGGCACGGAATCGGAATCACAGCCGGGACTCTCGAGTTGGAGGCGGAAAAAGAGACGCGGGAACTCAAGTGCGTTCGATTCAATATTGTCGTGGGCTGCCGAGTGTTGAGTCTGAGTGGCTCGGATACGGATGATTGCCTGGCACAAGGCACAAACACTTACACTCAGATTCAGCCAAGTTATGCTGTAGCTACAACTTTATCCGCCCCCAACCCACTCCCCACAGGTAAACACTGGACATTACTCATTCGCCTGAACGGTTAGCGAATTCAATTGGACGCGAAAAAAGCGACAAAAAATGTTTATCGCACGACAACGATACCCTTCAATTTACAAGGGAATTCCAAGCCAATTGTGTTTTAATTGAGGCAGTGAATGCACTTGATCAATTAATTTTTAACTGGATTAAAGTTTATTGAATATCAGAGATATTGACTAAAATTTTTTACTTAATACCCTGCGGAAGCTTGAAGAAAACACCTTTATGGAGTGGCCCCATTAAATATTTCCATAACCATTTTCACTTCCACAGCATTTTCTCTTCCTTTTGGCTGGCTTTCCTCCGGCCAAGAGGAAGTCGGTTAAGATTTTCCCGGGTCGCCTTACTTTGCGACCTCGTTGCAATCTTATGTATTAAATATATAGGTATGTGTATATATTTTTCCGATCCAGTATTTATAAGCGTGCTTAATCGTAATCAACAGAGAGCCATTCGCTCGTGTGCACAAGTAATACAATGTTACATTTCTTATATATTATATACTCGTATAACTTTGTAGAGCTGTGTCTTTCTGTTGATGCTCCTTGTTGCCTCAATCAATTCAATGTTGATTTTTTCTCTGTCTTATTTTTTGTTTCCCGCTCATTTGCATTTACCATAAATTCAATTTAACCCGAGTGGGTCCGTCTGGTCCCAGGTCTTTTTCTCTTATTTTTCACTTTGCATATCAGGTGACGACGAGCTTTCCTCCATCCACCTTGAACATTTCTCTTGATTTCTTCCTCACTGCTCGAGTTATTTACACGCTTTTAATTCAATTTCAATTGCACAATTAATCAAGAGCTTGGTACACCTTGGAGTTGAGCTGATTCCCTCATACTCTCCCGTGCTTTTCACTTGCTTTTTGTTGTGCTTCCCCGTGCGTGTTTAGCGGCTTGAAGTTCAACAGAGCGTATGAGTGATTTTTGCATTGTCGAGCCTCTCTTTGGTGTGTGTTTGGCGGGGGGCCTGTGTTTGTTGAACTCTTTCTGTGTTAATTAAACACTTTAATCCGGCCGCGCTTTGTTAACGCTGTCATAATACCGTCTATTCGGTATTACCACCTGCCACCCCCACCACACTATTCCCACTAAATGGAAACAATTGCATTTTTGTTTTTTTTTAGCAAACTTGTTCCGTTTTCGTGTGTGCAAAATGATTGATTCGATATCTCACTGGCAGCCAACGCACAATGGGCCTAGCCGAGTTAAATTTATGGCCGACAACACAAAGTGCATGAAATTTTTCACGACATGAGTAAAGGTTTGATGAACCCGAAGGTTTAAATACTCTAAAAAAAAGGATTTAAAATCTTACAATTCTCAAGGTCTAGCACAAATAAATTAATATATTTTCAAACCTCAAAAATGTAAATTATAAGAAGATTTTTCTTCAAAATCCCTAATCAACTACCATTACTCCTTGTTAGTGTATTGGAGTTCAAATATTTTTCAATTCCAAATCAAAGTCGAAGTCTCTATGCGATTTTTAAGGTGGGTCGTCGTGAATAGCGGAAATTCCACATGCGATCAACTTGCACAAACCGCCACACACTCCATACAGAAAAGTCAACCACCGCCTCTTTTGCCGCCAAATGGAAATCAAAGCCAAATGCACGAAAACGAAAATATCTCACAGATGCATAGATACATTGATACATAGATGCACAGGGGCAAAAGATACTCGAGCTGTTCGGGTGCAATAACATTGACATTTAGAATGCGGACCAAGACCCGGGCCATTCATAATTGCAAAAATACCATAACGAGCTCGACTCGGCAAGCCAAAACCCAAAAACAAACTGAAACCAAAACCAAAAGCAACATAAACTAAAGTCACAGATGCCAAAAACAAAACCAAGTCGCGACACAGAAAAAACGTCCAAATGAAATCGAAATTGAAATCGAACGCACTGAAAGTCCACAAATCCACTAACCTTGTGCCCCGCATGGGCCATAAAAACTGCGTATTGATTTCGTTACATGGCGAAAAAACCATAACTTTATTAGGATTATATTGTCATTTAAAATATTTCATATTTTCTTATAGCTACCAAAATGATACACATTAAAGCAGTGGAATATTAAAAAGATAAAATATGAGTTAGCGAAAAATATAAATATGTATAACATGAAATATAATCAAGATAATATGAGTACATTTTTTTGGCATAGATTGTAATCGTATATCATTCCTAACTGAACCCTAACTCTTAAACTGCACAGTTATCATTAAATATTATATGTTTAATCACAATTAAGAATCTTATTGAATGTTAATTATGTAATAAAACATAAAAAACCTTTAGCCTTAAAAAGTTAACGATTTAAAAAAAATCATTTCTTCAAGTGCCTTCCTCCAAAGGAATGGCTATTGGCAACGGAGTCGTTCGGGCCAGACCAATTATAGCGCACTTGTCCGCGGACATGCAGTGTGGGCCACAAGCCACAAGCCTCCAAACAGCTGACTGGTAGTGGGAGTGGGGCGGAAAAAATTTGTGTGGTGCCAGGATTTGTTTTTTATTTTTTTTTTATCACAGCTTGCCACATGTGGATACTGCAAAGTGCATTGGGCAACGTTTGGATTTGTTTCTTGTTTTGTTATTTATTTTTTTTTTCTCGCTTACTACGTCATGCGGTGAACTCAAAGTCATAAAAATGATTTCAACTTTTGGGATTGGATTCGCACAAAGAAGGTCATGAGTTGGTGTGAATGTAATCAGAATACTAATTAATGGTTTACTCTTAATTGATCTGCCAGAAGGTTAAATTTTTTTACCATTATTAGTAATAACTGTTATTAGAGTTTAGGTAAGGGGAATTATTATAGGAAATATTTGGAAATTACGTGTATGTAGACACGACTTAAGAACTGGGCTTGCGTTCAAAACAATAAATTATGAAATAAGTAACTAAGGCCTGTTTTGGAATTCTATCCACGTGGCTCTACCCATTTCTATTATCCCATGACTCATCTGCTGCCTCCACTTAACCCACTTTTTGGCCAACTCAGTCGTCACCCACATGTGCCGAATTTCCATAAGCCAATTGCAGAAACTCCAAACCCAGAAAAGTCACAAAACCCATAACGCAAGTCAGACTCACTCGTAAGTTTAGACGTCTGAAGGAAAACCAAACAGGCAGTAACGACAGTTTTTTTTTTGTCAAAACTCTAACATTAAAAAATTCTTTAAAGCCGCTGGGCACGCTCCAGTCCGCACACACATAAAAGTCATACGAAACGATCTCATCATAACTTAAACGTCACGTTGCAAGAGCCATTAAAGTATTGGCTCCGGCGACAATGGCCAAAGCCAAAAGGTAAATAAAACCAAAAGAAAATACCTGGCGACACACTGAACCAATGACTCCCAACGATCGAATCTGGCCAAAAGAGTTGGGCTGCATTTGCTGTTAAGAGAAATAATCAAAGATTTAAGAGAGGCCGGTGTGGTGGAGTGCCGGCTTGAGACTTGAGACTCGATCCGTGGGCTGAGCTCGAAAGCGAAATCAAATCGAAACCGAAAGCCAAGCCGAGCTGAGGTGGGCTTCGGGTTTCTTCAGCTCTTTCAGAAGAATCCGAAAGAGAAGCTTTGAAGTGGCGCCGCTTTTTTTTCGGCTTCTTCGGCCAGGTTTTTGGTCTTTCAGTCGTTATTTTGGCAGTCGATCGCGCGGTTGCGGCTCAAAAAGAAGCGCGTTCGCCACTCAGCATCCCCCAAAAAAATAATTTTTTAACGATCTTGCAACAAGTGTACACAACGTGAGTTTTTCTTAACTTATTTTAGGGATGTATGGAAAAACTATGGCCAATCATGGCCAAACCATTAAATTCTGTGAATGATTGATTGAGTGCCGTGTGTCCAAGCTTGCAAAAATAAAAACAAAAGGAAGCCTCCCACGATAGCGTGATGAAAAATGCTCGACAAATGCTTGCCAAACGAAATTTTTATGCAAATTATGAGACTTGTAATTATAGTGCAACAAGCCCAAATTGCAATGTACAAATCCACCCAAAGTCACTCTAATTAAATTCCAAGTTTGCACTTTTAATTAAAAAAAAAACAAAAACAAAAAAATTGGAAGCAAAAAATTAAGTTGCAATCAACATTGATTAACATAACAGCCAACAACATGTGAACGCAATTGAATGTCGAGCACTCACATTCATATACTCGTTAAAATTCGCGGTTGCCCTGCTATAATCATATATATGTCTACGATATATATCCCCCACCGCAAAAGTGAATCCAAAAAGCGTGGAAAAGTGACAAAAGTGCGATTCTCGTGTGATTTAAGATCTCCATCGTTCCATCGTCTCAGGCTTATGATCATCGAATGTGTGTTTTTTCAGTGCTGGTGTGAAACAGAAATCAAAAAATCTGGTAGCTGCATTAATTACAAATTTATTCAAATGGGCAAACAGGTGGAATACAGACAGTGCAAACAAGAATTCAACGTCAGACGTTTGATGAGTGTGCAGATGTTGGCTAAAATAAAATGGACGGACAGGTCTCTTGTAAGCCTGATTGATCGAATAATTGCTGCGATGACAAGCAGATTTAGTACACAGACTTAAATTCAGTTCATATTAAATGCCTATTAAGCCTTTGGCTTAAAATCTTTCAACCCAGCTTAAAACACAAGAAATCAAGAACTATACTACATAACTGAGATCATCTCATAGTTGAGTGATCGCAAGAAGTGATAATCTTGGTGGATGATAGATATTTTCTGACATCATTTTAAGGTTGTCTGTGAAGATTTGAGTGAAGGAGACTTTTGAGAATTCCAATAGAAATTATGAAACTAAAGCTAAACAAACTTTAATTTGTCTGCGAACTCTAAGATACATATATCTTTCTGTCTGGTGTTCAATAAACTTAACGAAAATGTTTCAACACTTTATAATTACAAGAACTTCAAGGATTATTGTGATCACACTAGTAAACAACATAGTTGTTAATTATACGCTATTAAAAATTGGTGTATCATGATCGTAAGGTGATCAATCAGTGGTAATAAATAAAATGAAAAAGAATTTGCAAAAGGCATGACTGAACGCTTTTTGCTATTAAATAGCAAAGGTGCCCAGAATCGACTGCCCAGTAAAAAGTAATTAATGCGGTTGTGAGGTAATGAGAAGCCAATTGAAAGAACTGGAGATTGTGGATCAAAAGTCAATTAAAAAACAGCCGACATGGCTTGTATCCACCCACGATCAGCCGTCCGCTTAAATGCCAGCAATGATCGATGGCTTAATCGGATCGGACAGAATCTGTGGAATCTAATCAGCCCAGTCCACCTCGACCCGAACACGATCATAACTTGACTCGTCTTAATCTTCTAGTCCCAATAGATGACTCAGAATGAAGCTGGCTAAACTGTAGCATGTCGAATGCTCATGTAAGGCCATAATCGGTCTATCTAACTGCCATAATCCACCCGCTAACTGCCACAGAAGGCAGCTGGCCTCAGAACTCAAAGTATAGACTTTGGATTCAGTTTGAGATTCAGATTCTGACTTTAAGCCGCACTTGGACTGGTCAGAGCCGCTTGCTCACCTCGCACACAAAACACATCTTACGGCACGTACTTGGATCTCCTCGACCAGGCAAAAATAAAATCGAAAAGCATAAACAATTTATTTGAACAAAATAACTTTGAACTGTGCAGTTGCAGTTGCAGTTTCAGTTGCATTTGCTCTTGGTGTTGTATGAACCGCAAAATGACTTAACTTGTAAGCTGTGGCATTTGCCAGTGGATGCTGCAATGTTTCAATGCGATTCAACTGGCCAGGAATGCGGGCCAGGCACTTGGAAAAATAAATATAAATTAACATAAAATTTGTAACTGTTTATTGAGAATCATAAAAAACTTGCTGATGGTTTCAAGAGAATTAATTTACCAACATTTAGAAAATATTCTGCCTTGAAGAAGTCGTTTTAAATAGAATGGTTTAGTAATAAACTTAAATATCTCTATAATAGAAATCCATTCATTTGTGGAATGTTTCCTTAAAATTTCTCAAATTAATCACTTATTTTGAAGTTTCTCCCATGGTCTGCTTTTATTATTCGTTCTAACCGAAAGTGCCAAGTGGCCAATACCAAAGCCAAACCAAATTAAATAATGTTATGCAATTCGCGTTCATTTGTTAAACCGATTGAAGATTGCAGTAGAGAGGCTCCCTAAGCACTGTGCTGGGCATTGAGGCATGCCATTGCTCAAAGGTGTTCTAATGGCTGACCAAACGAGCTATTGAACAATGCCTGGAAGTGGTTTTGGACTGAAGATACAGCCAATCCGATATCGAATGCCGCTACTAATTAGACAGGTTGCCAAAGATCTAGATAGGTGCGTGTCTGGGAAACGGTGCTGAGGCTGTAATTGAGAGGAAATCTTGGGTCTGACTGGTAACCGCTAAAGACTTCCCTTTCAAAATTTTTGGACGTCATACAACTAGATTACCTCATTTCCCACACGGTTTGACATGCTCATCGGTCGTTAAATGTTGTTGGAAAACAAAAAAAAAAAAAAAAACCAAAGACTCAATGATCCCAGCTCCAAATTCGTGATGTTTGGTTACACCCATTCAAAGTCCATGTCTCGACCCTAAAGCAAGGTTCTTCACAGCACTCTGTCAATTGCTGTTATGACCTTTCTGTCGATTGCTTACTTGGCTAGCATTTTCCACCATTCAACTGACCTTAGCAGACTCTCAATAGCCTGGCCAGCAAATCAAAAAAAAATGAGAAAAAGATTTTGCACACCTGAGAGGAGTTTAAGAGCTGACTACCAGACTGCAGCTCATTAATCCAGCAATGAGTGGATAAAGTTGCTACACAAGAAAAAAAATTTTAATTGAAATGCATGTTCCCTAAAAGAATTTATTAAAACTAAATCTAGATAAAGTAACTCGAACTCTTAGAAAGAACTGCTTCTCCTGTGAATACCTGTATTCCAGAAGTTTAGTTGTTATTTCTTTTTGTGTACTTGCCACTCATTAATAGGCCGCAGTCTCCGCCTCTTCAGTATCCCCAAAGAAAAAAAAGAAGCCGCAACACTTGAGGTAGCTCGAAAACTTTGAGCTTTGGTTTCTTGCAACTTGGCAATAAGCAGGCACCGAGCCAGCAAACGAAAACAAAAGTGAAAAGGTCACTAGCACCAGTTGGGCAGCAGTTGTAGCGGTTTGGGGCAAATATAGAGGAGCAGTCCCAGCTGGAGTTGTCTGAACCAAAACCGAAGACCAAAAACAAAACACTTTTCGGCACTCGACACTCAGCCAACTGTGGCCGCCGAGCTCATCGCACTCGTAATGCCAAAAACCAGGTATAAAGGTATATAAACTTGTAGTTACACGAAATGCATAACATTCAGTGCTGCCTGGTTACAGGAAGTGCAATTTCTTCAAAAAAATATATGGTTATTTTGTTCAGAAGATTTGCTCATATATTTTTATAAGCCAATTAATCTTAGAAAACTTGCAAAACCATAATTGTATTTTCCCAATTCACATTTATGCAAACTTCTCCCAGGGCATTTATTCTTCGTTTTTCTCCTGTTGGCCAGACCAGCCCGCTTAGTTCCAGCTGTTATTGCCGTTGTTTCGGCTATTTGGCTTGCTCTTCGTTTTTCCGGCTAACAAGTTTGCTTTCGGCTTTGGCTTTGGCTTTTGTGTGTCTAACCAAAGGTGAAGTTGCAATTGCCCCAGCAGAAGCAGCCTGCCACTTGCCGGCGATTTCTTGCCCAATGTGCAATTCGCATTTCAATTTTTCTAAACTATTGGCCAATACTTTTGGGGGCTTCTCTCGCACACACTCTCGCATACTATATAAGATTATTTATCGTCACTGATGGCATGGGAAAATCCAAGCCAAATTGCAATCACAGCTTCTTAATGCGGTGAAGATGTCTTTGCGGTTTTCGAAAGGGGGTATTATTAACGCTTAATTGAAGCAGGAGATTGAAGATGTGCAATCTCTCCTGGTTGGGTGACAACTTTCCACAAAATAGTGGAAATGCCGAAATGCATAGTGACATGGACTTTCATTTTAATTTGCAATTCGATTGCCTTTCGGAAATTGATGTTTTCGAGAAGACAGGGAGAGGAGCCAGACCCTAATCTACTGAAGAGTCTTAAAGATCAGTTAGACAATGGCAATTATCCATGGATTATGTAAGGGAAGCAAAAATTGAAAGGGGTACTGAAAAAAAATACTAGCTCAAACTTAATTTAAGTCAAAACTCTTAAAGGTTCAAAGATCTTAATTTATAAGATATTTCCTAAGATATGTGCCAGTTTTTAAGCGTCTTATACTAGGTGCCAAAGTTATATTTTAAATAAAATTTCTTTCTGTGCAGCAATTGACATTTGGAAGTGCCCGTGGAGAAGGTGAGCTCAGGTAATTATGGCCGAACAGAAGCAGCTGGAAGTCATGTCCAATGAGACCTCATCAGTCGGGGGATTGAGACGCCAGCCCACCAAATATCCCCACGGCCTTAATATCACTGTTCAGACCATCGAAGACACCGACAATGATGGATCTCTGAAAGATCCCAGTGACTACTCCCGCACCTCCAGCGAATCGTGCTGGAGTGAAACGCAGAAATACCACATCGGAATGCTTGGTAGCTCCGAGACCCTGGCTGAACTTCAAGTTCGTCGCTATAAGTATCCATTGACTGCCAATTATTATCTGAACGGCAAATCGGTTATGGACAGGCCCACACAGAAGCCCACACCCTGGATGCTTTTGGGGTATGCCAGACGGGCTTGCCGCTGGAAGTATCTGCGATGGCCCATCATCTTTGTGGCCAGTGTCTTGCTATTTTTCGGACTGATCACCTACTGCCTCTGGTTGCACGATGTCAGTGTGGCAAGGGCCAAATTCCTGCAGCGTCGCTACGAGGCCTCCCTAACATCCACGAGTCCGACCAGCAACGAGCTTTGGGATGAGGAAGTCACCAGCACCACTGAGCTAAGGGAACCCCAGGAAACCACACGATTTCAGGAGGCGCACACGACAGAGACCGATCAGTCCACAGAATTGTCTGACATTTCAATCGACGAAGGAGATGAATATCGCTTGGAGGATATCGCAGAAGGTGATGGGGACTATGATGATACTCTATTGCCAGCGGATAGTATTCGATTCACTTCCGGGCATCAGAATAGTTTCGGAGTGCCCATCGAACAGGACAAGAGAATACTGCAGTTGCTCAAAGATGTGAGTTCTCATTAAAATTATTCAATATTATATTAAAAAATTGTGTCAAATTTTTCTTTAAAATATAACAATAAACGTTTATAAATCTCTTGCCATTTTCCAGCTGCTGCCCAAGCCCCAGGCGACTCCTGCCGGCAATGAGCAGCCTTTGACCCGGGTCTCCCCACCCTGCCACCCCCCTCGCCGGCCAATCTACGTCCCACAGAGGCCACGACCTTTACCACCACCCCCTCCACAACCAACAATGGCTGTCAGTCGACTATGCTGCCCATGTGCCAGGGAGTCCTGGACTACGATCTTACCAATATAAGGGATGGATCAGCACCGCGGGATGCGATGGCCATGGCAACCTACCAGGAGCTCATCCGGTCAAATTGTTCGGCAAGGGCGGCAGAGTTTGTGTGCGCTGCCCTGGAACCCGAGTGCCGACCCTCATACATTGGCAACCTGCCGCCCTGCCGACGTATTTGCAAAGGTAAGAAGCCCGCCTAAAGACACCAAATATTTTATTTAAGATATATTTGAATAAACAGCTATATTGGAGGCCTGCTCAGTGGCCATATCCAACTCGGATGTCCTGAGTGAACTCTTTGACTGCAGCCTGTACCCCGATTCCCATGAGAGTCACAAGTGTGAGGATCCCACCAAGCGGCGGGATTATTGCTATGGAAATGAGTTCCAATGCCATGATGGCAGCTGTATTCCTCAAACCTGGCAGTGCGACAAAATCAAGGACTGCTCCGGTGGCGAGGACGAAGATGAGCAGTGTTTGGTTTGCGAACAGGACGAGTTCCGTTGCCGATCGAATGAGAAATGCATTCCGGAAAACCTTCGTTGTGACCTGAACTTTGACTGTTTCGACGGCAGTGATGAGGAGGATTGTGACGACTTTGGATCGGGGGACACAACCCCTTTCGATGAGGCAGAACTGAATGCATTTCCTCGGGTCTTTTCCTATGCCAGTTTCCTGTCTCCCAATGAGACAAATGATAAGCTATATACCTACATCACAGCCACAACCGATGAGGAGGCGGGTACGGAGACCAAGTACCAGGTTCATCAGGTGGCAGCTCCTGCTCCGCCAGTTCCTCAAGCTCCTTCAGTCAATGGAAGTGCCGAGGAGGCCACAGGAGGTCCTAAGGGATTCGGTAAGTACTGATGTTAAATATACAGTTTCCAATAAAGATTTTCTACTAAATATTTTAAAAATTGCGTAAATTGTATTCCTTTTATGGTCTTCCTTTCAATAACATTTTCCTAGTCAACTTTCGCGACAGCAAAGAGATCATGATGACCAGCGATTCGGAGAACAAGTTCAAGTACTCAGCCCAGCGGGCCAACCGGACTTCGGTCAAGTTCAGTGTGGCAACCGCCCCAACTCCGGCGGCCCGGACGGCCAGTGCCATTCCAAGTTCGGCTCTGGCCCAGCAGCGGGAAAGGGAGAGGGTTACCAGCACCACTTCAACCACAACAACAACGACATCTAGGCCATCCACAACAATCCAGCCACGTTATGAGATGCTTGCTTCGGTGGGAGGTTGCCAGCCCCACGAACTGAGATGTGTTAGTGGCAAGTGCATCACAGTGAACCAGTTGTGTGATAAGGTAAGTATAAATTAAAACAAAAAAATAAAGCTAAGAAGCCTTTAAATGACTGTTCTTTGAATAAAACTTAAATTTGACTTTTTTATATACGGTCCCTAACTGACCCTATATCTTCGTCAATTGACTTCCGATTCTAAAACAGAATACCTTTAACGATTCTTAGACGGATTCTTTACTTATCTACATTAAATTCTCCAAAGCAAATTTTTTATCGATATTTTTCAAAATTTTTTGATGAAAAAATCCAGGATTCTTAAATATGGCTCCTAGTCATGTCTACATCTTTGCCAATTTCTATCCGACCTCCAAGCGAAATACCTTAATAGATTCGTAGATAGATGACCAATAGATCTGCATCAAAATCTGCAATTAAACTTTTTTTAAAATATTTTTTACATTTTTATTATGGTACCACTTTCATACCACTTGGTCCCTAGGCCCATCTTTATCTTTACAAATTTGTATCCCATCTTCGAGCCCCAAATGGGATAATTATCCCAAATCCTAGCCAAGTCGATATCTTTACCAATGAAATACTAAGTCTATGGTAGACGGATTACCTAGAGCGATTTCCTGAATAGAAAGCATTAAACTATAAATTTAATATTCTACAATTTTTCTTAACCCGACAGCAAATTGATTGTCCCGATGCTGCCGATGAGTTAATGTGCGTTTATCGAGACCGGGGAAGGAAGACAAGCACAACCACCAGCACAACAACAACTAAATCACCGTCAACCACCAGTAAACCACCCACAACAGCACCACTTACAACGAAAACAACCGCAGGAACAACAACAACAACAAGCACAACCACTACTAATCCGGTGACCAGTACAAGTACAAGGCGTCCGCCCAGGACCACGCCCAACCGAAGTCGAAAGCCCAAGTCTTAGAGTGATGTATCTTGTATCTTATGTTTATTTATATCTCTATCCAACTTCTCTCCACTTCACGTGTATTTTATCGCTCGCTATATGTATGATATATGTATGTTCTACCTGTAAATCTTTGTTAGCCTGTAAGCTTAGTGGCTAGACCAGTTTGACTATTTGTATGTGCGTGTAAATTGTATTTTTAGAAATGAATAAAGTCTAAGTTGTGAGTAGCTTAAACGAATAGTAAGGTAAGTTTCGTAATCTTTCCTTGGAGATCTTTCAGCCTGGCAATTAGATATGTATATTGTCTTGGGGCTTCAGCTATCAATCTTTTCTGTCTTTTCACCGAGTAACCTTGACAGGAGCATAAAAGTCCAATCCAGAAAACATACTTCTGGCCATTGTCGGGCCATTGTGTGTGTACTTTCAAAAGCCATAAACAGATTCGGACAATGCGGCAACGAAATTCAAATGAAATCGATACAATTAAAGCCGGGACATTATTCGAAACCAACCTTGGTCTTTGGTCAGCACACTGCCCACGCATTGAAAGACCCAAACTAAGACCATTTGGACTGGGCAATTCAATTAACCAGTCCATTGTTATCGATTCGGTGGTGCAGTGACTGCTACGGGGTCCATTATCTATATGAGTGTGTGCACAGCTGACTGCAAATGCACTGAGAGAAATACGTGGACTATAGTTGGACCTTGAAAACATGAATGCCAAGAAGACTTTAATAAAGAGTTCATAAATTTATTTTCCAAGTGTGTATCAGACAAAACCCCACTCCCGATGCCATTCCAGAAGGCAAAATAGCAGGAGACCGACACCACTTGTCTAGGCAGATTAAATTGCGGACCAACCCAGTCGAGAAATCGCCTCCCCAACAAATTTCAACTCCAATTCTGTTTTCGAAACGTTGACAGCTCGTTGCAGTTTGAAAATTTCCGTTTTAGGGGCTGATGATGACGGCAGATTGGACTAAAGTCTCTCCTCAAATATCTGCACAGCCACAAAAGTTAAATGCGATTTGATTTCACCCCAGAATTCCACCCAAAAAACAAAAAAAAAAACCGATTGGCAAAAACAAGAGAAAACAATTCAAGAACCGATTTTCTGATTTTCCTGGGTTTTATGTTTTTTTTCGGGGGTCTTTTCTGATTGATTGCCATCAAAAATCCGCTTTTGGCATAACGGCAAATGCGATTTGATTGCTGTCATTGTTCCGCAAGCAAGGACTATTAATATATGTTTTCGGCACAATTCCTAATCCCAACATGGGCAATTGGGCGAAGATGGAAAACCACCCGAAAAAAAACTCTGCCCAAAATAGGGATAAAAAAATGATATTTGATTTCCTGTATTTCTGCACTTTTTTTTTGTTGTCTGCCATTTGATACGTTTCATACGCTTTTGACAGCTGTCGGGCATCTACATTTTCACCTTAATTAAGTGATATTAATCGTCTTTGCCAATCTATAACTTTCATCTATAAACGTTTTGGGTGAAAGAAAAAAATGTTAAAAAAAAGGTGAGAAGGCGCGTGCCGTAAACTCCCAAAAAAATATATATGAAATCTAAAACTGAAATTGAAAACCAGAAAAACTCATTCACTTATAGGGCATTAAAAGCTTTTTCACCTTGGCCAACAAAAGGGTTTAGAGAGAGGGTGGTGGTAATAACGAACAAACCGAATGGACACGCATAATTTTCATGTTTAGTGCCCTTTTGGCTCTGGACCTTTTTCTCTCCTTGAGCCAGGTCACTGGCAATATTGTTAATGTACTCTATTGGAATGGCCCCATTTCGGGGTCGGTCTCTATCCCAGGGCCATCTGAGTGTGTTTCGTTTTGGGCCATATGCAAGGCATTAGAATGTTGTGTTATCTCTGCCCGGCGGGGTGGCCATCACATTAATTTAAAATTTGGCAATTTCATTTTGTAGTTTTATGCTGTAAGAGCTTCTGGGGCAATTGAATAAGGGAGTCCGAGTTAAACTACTTAAAATAAGGAAATTTTGGCAATAAAGGATATGGTTGCTGACTCCGTTCAAGGAAGAAAATAATTGCATTTTATTACTTCAGTTTTTTTTTTCTTAAGCATCGCCTTTCTTCAACGAAGCATTCTTATTCTCTATTATATGAGAGAACAAAAAATCACAGTAGGTGTTTCAAGATTAAAAAATGTTATAAATTATTGCAATATGAATTTTTGAATGCACCCAGAAACCCCGATTGCAACGTTTGTGTGTACAGTTGCAATCCAAAGATACTTATCAACCCATATCCTTGAAGATCCTGCCAGTGAACTGACCCCAAATGATCCCTTAATATCCCAAAGGGTTCCTTACCCCTCGAGTGTCCCGTGGCGAGCCGTCTTCATGAGCACCCATAATTACGGGTCTCAACGCTTGATCGTTTTTAAATTGCAAGCCGCGCACACTTCCGCCCCTGAATAGATGAACTTATCGGCACTTCAAGTAGCCCAAGGAACCCAAGGAGTTCAAGAAGTTGACATAATTGTGCCAGCATTTCACAGTCCTGCGCATTTTACATTTTGTAACGTTTTGGGTATTGCAACCCTCCCCGGAATGAAGCTAACCCTTGGGTGCATCTGCCCTTTAACCCTCTTGGCCATATTAGATCGACATTCCAATGCGACAGTTGTTATAGCTGCGAAGGAAATGGGTGTGTCCAAGATTCCGATTTTCTGTGCAATCTGTCTTGCCTAATGCCCCACTCTAAAGTACAGTTTAGCCATTAGAGCCACAGCACAAATCTTGGAAAATCATTAAGCGCATTTTCCAATTGATTTCACTCCTCGGAGCGACCACAACACGAAGACTTGGCCAAAATCAATAAGCAGTCAAAAGGCAACCGCACAAACAGAGCCGAGACTGAAAGGGACTGCCAGGAGCAGAGGGCTGGAGCTGGGACTGAGATTGGGATTGAAAATGCGGCTTGGGTGTCTGGCCAGTCAGGCATGGACCAGACTGGACAATAGCGATACCTATTAAAGGTGATAGGGCTTGCCGTATTTGTGAGCTTCTATTCTTAGACTTTTAAACAAAATTAAAAATAATAAATAAATTTAATTTAATATTCTCTTGTAAGTATCTATATTTTAGTAAGAAAATAAAATCTACCAAATCCCTGGGTAGTCCCAAGTCGTTACTAAAACTTTCTCATTAAGACCCTAAAGACCGTAGCCGAGATTGTGTCGCATTGTTGCAATATTGATGATGAGACCCACCTCCGTCCCTCGGACCTGTGGTCCACACTTTTTGTATCGGCTGACCATCGATTCGCAAAAGGAAAATCGCAAACAAAAACCGAATAACCGAAAAACCGAAAAGTGAAAATTGCTTTTGGGCAGCATCTTTTTACGCCTGAATGCAACCTAAAGTGTCAACGGCACTCATTCTCCTATTATGGCCTCTATCTCCAATCCGATGGTTTGTAGGTTTTTCGGGGTTTCGGGTTTTTGGGTTTTGGGTTAGGGGTTTTTGTTTTCATCATCCTCCATTGAATTGGTCCGACGCAACGGCCCACACACCCCTCGGCACATATGCAAACACACACACAGGCACTGAATGATTTACGAGCATATATACAGGATGCTTAAAGGATAACAGCAAAAAGTTACAACAGCAGGACACATTCGGCCTGTTCATTTGCATAAATGCTCATTAAATCATGTTGCCGGCCAATACTACTTACTAGCTACTTCTTCGTTTACAACTTTTGCCCGGCCGGTGTCCAGTTGTGCTGGCATAAATTTACCAAAATAGGCGACACCTCTCCGATTTCGGGATCAGGCACAAGCTCAGGCCTAAGCTCAGGCCCCCCGTTAATTGCCTCACCTGGAGTCACCTGGATACAGCCAGACAGCTAGCCAGCCACTCGCATTTGCATTTGCATCGAATGTCAAGTTCAAAATGATTTACAGACTTTTTGTTTCTCGGGGGTAATTAATTGCCTGCCAGATTGGTGGACTGGGCAACTGGACATTAGTTGGGAGATAGTTGAACAAAGTGTGGCATCGTGGCATCCTGGGGAAAAGATGGTGAAATGGATGGAGAGAAATGATGGTAACCGCCGGGTGAATGGTTAGCAGCTTGTTTGGCGTGTGCCTAATGAGTGTTAACTGAGCTAAGAGAAATGTATGCATACTGCACTCTCTAAACAGAGTTTAGTTAATGATTAGTGGCTGAGGGAAAAGTGGCATAATTTAAACAAATTTTAAGGTAATTTGAGCTTATTGTTTTCAGGAAAAACTTTGCCGCATGATAATTAAATAATAATTATTTTCCATAGTAATGATAGTTTCCTTGATGGTTTTTGGTGGACTAGGCCCCCTCTAGAATGATATCTACCAGCAACCACTCCCATTCATAATTCCATTTTACAAAACCCTTATGGCTTGTGTGTAACACCTTTGTTAATAGACCGACAACTGCGAAATTGAATTTACACAAAGAAAGAGCCAGTCTAGGCCTGGCAACAGAAACCCCAGATATGTAAGCTGAAGGTGCGGTTTACAAAAGCGCATATCAATGACTAATAACCTTCGGTGGCCCCCTGCTAACGAATGCAATTTCTTATTGTTCCGATACCCAATGCCGGAGTTAAGAATAGATCAGGACATCTGTCAGCAGAAGTCAGAAGGCGGCTTGCAGGCTGGCAGGCGACGCACATGACTAATTATGGACATTGCAGCTTGTCGGCAATAAATACATGTATAGGAAAACCTATATTCAAGTATATTGGTTCGATCGGTCGCCTTTTGAGACCGCTAATGATGCATGACAGACGTTGATCGGAGGCACCTTTTGACCGGCCGAGTGACTGACTGTAACTGCAAGTAGCGTGAAATATTCGCCATCAAAACAACGACAAAACATAAGAAAACCGACAGCAATTGGCAAACGGCAAACTGCACGGCAAACGGCCGAGTAAATTAACTTTATCGTCCCATACTTTTTGGCCAATCTTGCTCAGTCATTGGGGTGGGCCAGAGGAGTGGAGGGCGGAGGGGCTAGCCTGACTCAGCAGCTGCATAAACAAATTGCAGTCAACATTCATAATTTCCTGTTTAAATTAAGCTCGGTCCGCATTTTGGCTCTTAACTCACATCAACAGCATTTCCTAGTGACAAAAAAAAATTACAAACTCCACGCACTAAATCCGCCAAAAGCCCGCCCCTTACGCCCCTTTAACAGCAGCACACCACCGC